TAACCAACGAAGAAGTCCACAACAGGATCAAACGGGCCATCGGATTCTATGAAAACCTCCTGACCACTGTAAAAAAAAGCACAAACTGAAGTGGCGCGGTCGTGTCTCAAGATCATCTGGACTGGCAAAAACAATCTTTCACGGCTTAGTGTGGGTTGCAGAAGAAGAGGTAAACATAAAAAGAGGTGGGAAGACAACATTAAGGAGTGGACAGGCGTGGGATTTGGAGATTCCCAAAGAGCAATAGAAAACAGGGAAAGATAAAGAGAATTGATTGTAAATTCAATGTGATGCTCCAACAACCTCTCAGGTTAAGGAATTGATGATGATGTTGATGATGGTGGTGGTGATGATTATGAAATTAAAGTAAATGTTCTAATCAGCAACACTAAATATAACAAAATAAAACCGTGTCATTTCACAATACATTAATTACGATTTCAATCTAGAAGAGTCATTTAGAGAAAGGATATTATTTACAATTACAGAAAATGGCGGTTGTCGGGGCAATATATATGCGCTTGCCGACTTTATTTGAAGGTTTTGCCATAATTCTATTCAAGTTTTTATTTTGAAATTTACTGACTAATGGAAATTCTAGATTACAGTTATTAATCTCTTGCAGAAGCTTTATTTCAACTTTAGACGCCCAAGAGCAATTAATTATTGTTTATATCTTCATTCAGAGTTACTGTATTATTGAATGCGACTAATATATTTATCATAAACTATAGAAATATTAATGAAGATGTATATAACTATATTTATGAGATGCAAATGATAAAATACCAATTCATAGCCTACTTCATGATACATCTTAGTAGTTTGTGGAGGTTCTTTTATGAAAGGATGGTCCAAAAACCGTTATCATTCATTTGGAAGTTCTCTAAGATTATTGGAAGAGTACTACTTAAATTTATTTCAAATAATTTTCATACAGTTTGTCAGTAAATATTCACTAAAGTAGGTAACATTGTTAGCTACATTGGTTATGATGATTGTTGGATTCTCCTCTTAACGGCGCAAAAATTCACACGTTAACAAGATCCGACATGAAATTTGTAGAGCGTCGATAAATGAGAATTCTCACGTTATTATGTTTCCAATCTAAAAATAGTTTATGTCATGTGTTCATGAGGCATAATAATCTGTTAAAACGAACGACAAATCGAATCCAACTCTGCTGTTTAACATTCAACACAACCTGGTCTCTTCTTATGATATTTTCCCCTAAACAATTGTGTGTGTGTGTGTGTGTGTGTGTTTGTGTATGTGTTTGTGTGTGTGTGTGTGTGTTTGTGTGTGTGTGTTTGTGATTTGGATTTTTAACGTAGCATTAACAATTTTCCAGTCATATCGCTACGATGTCTGCAGTGTAGCAGTTGATAGTGATATCTAGCATTGGAGAATCATGCCTGCCTGAGACATGAAGCATGATGTCCCACACTGTCACCTTATCCTGATACCAGTCAAAACACAAACCTCTTAATACGGAGTGCCAAGCGAGGCAAGTGTTAGTACCATTTTTAAAAGTCTTTGGTATGATTCACCCTGAGTTCAAGCCCCGTACCATCCGAGGCAGATGCTCTAACCACTTACGTCACATGCCACTTGATACTATTTAGTGGATATAAAAAGTTAATATTCACTTGATGTAATACATTCCATTTGCAAAGAACTAAAAAATGAAGCAAAATCGAGAATCAATTGACAGATTACACGGCCCTGTAGTCATGCAGACTGAAATCGAGTATCTATTAATAGATTACCAGGCTCTGTAAACATACAGACTGAAATCGAGTATCAATTGACAGATTACCAGGCTCTTTAGTCATAAAGACTGAAATCGAATATCAATTGACAAATTACACCGCCCTGTAGGCATAAAGACTGAAATCGAATATCAATTGACAGATTATAAGGCTCTGTAGTCATACAGACTGAAATCGAATACAAATTGACAGATTACCAGGCTCTTTAGTCATAAAGACTGAAATCCAATATCAATTGACAGATTACACGGTCCTGTAGGCATAAAGACTGAAATCGAATATCAATTGACAGATTACACGGCCCTGTAGGCATAAAGACTGAAATCGAATATCAATTGACAGATTACACGGCCCTGTAGGCATAGAGAGCACAGCATTTTAATCCAGAAGATAAACTCCAGAATAAAATAAAATATCTTAAGTACCTCATTATATTTAGAATTTGGTTTGGCATGCAGATAAACAAACACTCAAATTATCTGGAAATGTTTAGTGAATAGTGGTTGTATTGGGACATACTTGTTTTGCAGACACCCATTTAAGCTGTCTGATTATCACCACAATAAAATACAGCCTAAGTTATTGAAGCAAACTTGAAAGAGATAGGGGAATATAGATGTAACATTGCTACTGAATAGTAATGCAAATACCTAATGACTTCAAAGTAAAATTTTTGATTATCACGAATGGATCGATTAATATTGTCAAGATTTTGGTTGACAAAACGAAGCCTCTTTTTTCTCAGTCAAAGCAAGATAATTTGATTGATATTTTAGGGTGTTTGTAAATCTATGAAAAACACTTTATCTCTACTTGAGTGACTAAAGAATACTTGATTCTTTTTCACTAATGCTTTTTAAGATTCGTTTTGGAGGATACAGCCGTAACATCAATAGTAGCACAAATAATGTGCAATAAAGTTTTGAAGAGATACCCTGTGCTTCGAGTTGACCATTATGTATACATTGCCATTTTTTTATACTGTATTCACATCTGACTCATAAATGCACGTTTGCAAAATCGTGAAATAAAGATGATGTTTTTTTTGTTAGTTTCTGTGGTTTTTTAAAATTTCTTTATGGCATTTTGGATATTCTCTATTTTCATCGTTAAAAGATGACTGTAAAAAAAAACAAACTATTAGACTGGTATGCAAACATATGAGCTGGTACCGTGGTTTTCAATACGATATTACTGGTGATGTATATAGCGTTCTACGGTACCAGGCTAACTGACACATTAGTATCGTTTTATGATCGCATATGTACATTATTCAGTCATTTTGCTGCATTGGTTATAAACTGTTTTTACTTCCCTGTAATTGGAAATGTGCTCGCATTCAGTGCCGCTTCTGTCCAAAGATAGCCGCATTACAAAGATAAATATAACTGAAGATCAGTCTTTAGAATCGTTTTATCTTGAATTGATTTAAAAGATAAAAAAGAAAATAAAACTGCATCAGCGGGAAACGCGATGGTGAATTGATCGCTTTTTTAATGATTCAAAGTGACATTCGCTTCTTCTTGATATCAATATGTCATTTTTACTAAATTGAAGACATTGTTAAAAGTGGACGCTCGCCTAATGTTCCAGTATAATCCACGCTGGTTTAATATTTATATACGATATTTAAGAGATCCCAGAATGTAGCTCGCAGGAACCCGTGTCTTTATACGTGACACGGGTTCTTCTAAAGATAAAAAAACCCTGCAACTTTGATGGCAGTAGTTATTCTTTACTGGAAAGAGAGTCAAGACATGATTTATAAACCAAAATCCCAAAAATGCAGCAATCCAGCTTCATCCCAAGATATTCTCACTGCAAATTCAGTTTTCATAAGACTGTTAATACTACAAGAGGAACAGCCCAAATATGCAGGCTTGACGGGCGGGCGAACGGATTTAAAAATTGCTGATATATATATATATATATATATATATATATATATATATATATATATATATATATATATATATATATATATATATACACACACACACACACACACACACACACACACAACCCGCCTCAAAGAAGCTGGAATATGTTTTCTAGAAACATTTTATCTAAAACGTGGTACCGGGCATGAGTTATTACAAACATGTCGCAAGTCTGTAGCCAATCCTTGATATATTTCCACTAAAAAAAAAAACAACACAAAATCCCCTATCACCATTTTGGAATATAATCCAGAAGGAAGTTTTCCAGGAAAATGCATTGAGAGCATTTATTTGCAGGAAAAAGATAGCAAAAGTCACAAAGCTACACATTTATCATAGAAAGACCAATGCCCCAATTTATGAGAATTGCATGTCTGTAAGTTATAAATTGACCGATATTAATCACAAAAAGCAATTGATAATACGACACTTCACTTTATATTATGCTAGTAAATGTATACAGAAAACAACATGCATGTTTTGCTCTGAATCGTTGGAACGAACTAATTTGGGACTGCGTAGGGATACATGAAGGCAACCAGGCATATAAATATTAATACGACATATAAAGTGAGTTCTTTTCCTGAGACTCAAAAACAAAACAACGAGTGTGGTTTTGTATTTATGACGTACCCCACCCACCTTTACGCTTTCTTAATGATTTACTTTACAATGTGAATAAAAATCAAGATCGAATTGAAATGTATAGTTTCTATCGCTGCGTCTGACAATGTCGATGCGTGGAATAAGACGAATAGGCATAAACAGTTGGAATCCCAGTTTAAGTTCTGGAAGAACGTGTTGAACATCTTTATGGAACTTTAAATCAATCACGTAAAATTAAATGGTACTATAAAAGACGGAACTAACATGACTTTCTCAAGACATCACAACGATGCTTACGCCATTATTGTCGATAGAGAAATGTGTGATGTGTGATTTAGATTTTTAACGTAGCTTTGACAATTTTTAGTCATATCGCTACGACGATGTCTGCAATTATTGCAGTTTATAGTGATGTCTAGCACTGTGGCATCATGCTGCAGACATGTGGTATGATGTGGTTTAGATTTTTAACGTAGCTTTTAAAACATTTCAGTCATATCACTACGATGTCTGCAATGTGACAGTTTATAGTGATGTCTAGCACATGCCGCAGACATGTGGTATGATGTACCACCCAGTCACATTATTCTGACACCAGGCCGACCAGTCCTAACACTGACCTATTAAAGCTGAGCGCCAATCGAGGCAGCTGTTAGTACTATTTTTTTTATTGTCTTAGGTA